ACACACTATATATACTAACATATATATATATATATATATATATATATATATATTTATATATATATATATATTCCCATATATATTTATATACATATTATATTTATATATATATATATTTGTAAATATGTATATGCATACTCACACACACACAGAAACACACTCGCAACCAAACACTTACATATACACACACACACATATATAGATATATATATATATATACATGCACATCTACACATAATCTCTTATATCCGCTTCCCTTTATAGTGGAAGGGCGAAGTAGAGAAAGGCTGTCCTGATTTTTCTGAACGAGAGAAAGAACATCTTGGGGAGGAATTGGCAGACGTACTCATATACCTAACGCGGCTTGCCGATGTGTGCGATGTCGACTTAAGTATGTTTTAAGCTTCTGCATCTGTGATGTACATAACAACGTCAGTTTCTCTGATGTTTGTGCGATGTCATACGATGTATAGCTTGTATCAGATTAGCTTGTGCATATTTTTGGAGCAGTGTTTGACTTTTTGCAATGCGAGCGTGTCCAATTTTGCTTATTGCCAGTGTTGTGATTCGTCGGGGCCTTCTACTTGCAGCCATATGAACAAACTCATTCTTTACAATCTCTCGAAGCTGCCTTATTGAACAGTCTATAAGTTGGTATATTGCGGTGTGAGTACACACTTTCAAGCCAAATAAAGTTTCGTTTTCACCGAAGGTAGGCTTCTCATACTCCCGTATTATTTTCGGGCTCTCTGTCATGCAGTACTACTGGTAGCGAGTCGCTAATCCTCACAACTGCCCGCTTTAATCTAATTCTATACGCAAGTATAATGGGTCGGTGTGTCCGCATTTGCGTATTCTAAGTCGCTTACGGACTTATATGGCTTCTAATCTCAAGCGCCCTGTCCCCATTCCCTCCTAATTTGCTGTTGCAGCCGCAGCCACTCTGAGGAAATTCAAACTGAACTCAGTCAAATACCCAGTGGATGGTAGCGGCAAACAACTCAGATAATAGCAAGATCAATAGATACAAATTATTCAAATTTCCAGCTGTTTGATAGCAGACACATAAAAAGCTATAAATCACGTGAGATGGACACGACTAGTTTACGTACTATCACAGTGATATCCATCACTATTGTAATTGATTAGAATAATATCAGTACATCGGTACATGATACTAACTTGGTCTCCCCCGTTTCAATTTTTGTTCTTATTAGTGACAAAATTCGTTGAATATGATCTTCATTTTATTGAGGCAATTATGAAAAAAAATTATTTCTCAATGATCACTTCCTACTGATGATGTAAAATAGCTTCATTTAATTTTATCATTGACGAGCTTGAAATACAACCATATCTTTTAATATTAGTTTTTTTAATCAAGCGCTATGTTCTATGCTTCCAATTGTTCATGGGCAAGTGATGCTCTCATACATTCAGCAAGACCAATGCCGTGGTCGCAAATCAGCATTCACCCACTGATGATGTCTCATAGTTTGAAGAATGAATCTAATAGCTGAAAGGCCTGATCTATATTTATATATTTTGAACCAAATTCAAAATACCTATCGGTAAGTGCTGCCCTCATACATACAGTGGAATCAATGCCGTGACCGTAAATTTGTTCACTGTCTAAGTTACCGTTCAAATTGGTGGGTAGTTCAAAGTCATTCCCGACACGAGGCATCATTCAGAATGCATCGACGTAATATAAACAAGCAAATGTAGTTCGCTTTGCTGTCTCTTGTTGGTTCTGATAACCGCAAATTATCTGTGCGGTGACGCACTTGGCTTGCCTGGGGACAGCAACATTTAGCGCGAAAGCGTCATGATATTGTTATCGCCATTACGAAGACACCCACCCCGCAATTGTCGAACAGTTTTAGGTCGTTGAAAACCCAGCTATGGTCTAATGTAGGCCGACGAAAGCTAGCTATCTCCACCTTGTTCCTCACAAGCTAAATCGACAGGATCACGACAACAGCAGTAGTAGGCAAGAGTCCACGATGACGACGCCGAGGACGAAATCTAAAACGGGTACGGCATACCCAAAAAGTGTAGCAGTCTCGACTTTGTTGAACTATATATTCTTTTTACACACATAGTCGAAAAGATAGCGTGAGGTGATCCTCGGCAAGTTAATGAGCGATGTTGGTTCTGATACTTTTCAGAGTGA